TATACATACATATGTTTGTACACAGAAGCACACAATGCAACTGCATTCAAAGTGTATGTATATGTGTATGTATATTATCTATGTATGTATGTATGTATGTATGTATGTATGTATATAAATACATATATATATATGTATATACACATGCAATTAATTCCTACAGATAGATCAATATTGGTAGATCCACAAATGTCAATGGACTGATGGATAGCTATGGCTTGGCTAAGCACCTAGATAATGGAACCCTGTTCTCGAATCCTGAACCCTAAATCCAAAAAAATACTTCATTAAGATCCTGTTAAACACCCTAACGTACATGAGGCTTAAATCCTGAACCCGCCGAAGTCTTGACAATTGACCCTAAACCCTGGAACCTGAACCCTAAAAACCTGAGCCTTAAAACCCAAAGTCATCAACACACACACACATGCACAATCATCAACAGACCGCTGTCAGCACCAACACCACCAAGCATCATCACCACCACCAGAACCACCACCACTGCCAGCACCACCAAAAACAAACACCACTACCACCACCGCCACCACTGTGATCTGGCAGTCCTTGGATTGTTTTTTTCCAAGGTGTTGGAGCTTCGGCTTAAGATTGGGGGTCGGCTCTTTAAGCCTCAGCCTATCGTAAGCTTGTTAAAGCTTGAGGTTGCCTGTTTGGCTGGTATACTCTACGCAGCATTTGTGTTGGCTTCCGTTGTGCACTTCGGGCAGAATGGCTGCTACTTGTGGTTTGGGGTCCTTCAACAGTGGTCCATACAGTTCAAGCCAGGGCAGATGTTGGAGATCAGGTGTACTTAAAGGAAAAGGTGGCTTAGTAAACAGGGCAATACGTAGGGTAATATATGCAGTTGCTACCTAAACCTTCACGCCATCCTCGTACCTGTAACAGTGATGATGTTGACACTGAAGATGATATGATGGTGGTGATGGTGATGACCATCATGAGGGGGAGGAGCAAAAAGATGTAGAGGAAGATGTTCATGATGATGGTGACATTCCCGATGCAACGGTGGTGATGATGCTGGTGGTGATGATGATGATGGTGATATGATGATGATGATGATGATGCTGACAAAGGAACCAGAAGTCTTAGCCTGAGACCCGCAACCCCAAACCTAAAATTAAACCCTACAAACAAAGCCAAACAAAGCCTAAAAACCCAGAGCGCAACAGCCTGTGACTGCTTGGTTAAGGGCGTTAGACTGGGATTTCGGGTTTATAGGGTTGGGCTGCCGGTGCTAAGGTGCTTTCAAGCTCCGATCGCCCCATTGCAAACGATCTTCGATAATTTACATAGTTTTTCCGGTGATACGTTGTGGTTCAATGACAATGTTTGGCTTTGAGCGATCCTCAAACTGGATGGCCCCTTCAAGTGACAGTGCATAGACACAGTTCACTCTCATACTCTAGGCTTGTGACCAGGATATAGCGAAGGGCTTTTAAACCCTAAAATCAAAACCCACATCCTCAAATCGAGAGCTATAGGCCAAGAATCCCCCCGATAATAGGGTTCTATGGTTGTGTACACTTTCATCAGAGTTGCTCCAAGATGTCTTCTGGGTCCAGCTCCTTGGTTCAACACTTGAGGCGGCAGGGTTGAAGAACTTAAAGAGGGGCTTTAGGCCTACCGATTTGCGATGTTTCAGGGTCCGTATGTGAGGGGTCAATTAAGCTTTCGAGCTTATAGGGTTTAGCAGTTTTGGGCACCGGTTGCCCCAAACCAAAGCGCAACGGGTCTGAAACAACCCCCAATAACCACCCACCCAGGACTCAGCCCTGAATCCTTAAACACCTAAACCCCAATACCAAAACAAACCCGTCACTAAGGGCCTTTGTGTCAGGTTTAGGGTCGTAGGTGCCAGCTTTCGAGTTTGGGCTTTTGTCGATGGCTGCGTCATCGGTCAGCTGATGATGGAGAGGCTGGGGCCCGGCTTTTTTCGATGATGCAAGTACGGTGCTTTTCTAGGCTGGTTGATGGGGACATGTCGGCAGGTGCCCAAATTGGGAAGAAGCCATGGTCCATCATGGTCTGTTGCTAAGCTTCTCCTCCCTCAACAACAGGAAATCAAGTGCAAGACCTATGCCCCAGGTCAAACGTGGACGCTTAATCAAGGACATCTTTGCCCACAGTGATGCAGGTGCCATTCCCGCTTTGCTCTGCTTTGCACCCAAGTGCATGCAGTACTGGTTGCATCTTGTTGTGTGTCTGTTTGTGTGATCGAGCATGGTGTGTTTGGAGCATTTGGCTTGCTCACAGAGTGTGTCGGAGATTTTGTCAGATTCAGATCCATGGGTGGATAGGCTCATTAAGGCTTTAGGTCTGCATACACAGTCCTATTGCTATTGCTTTAAAGATCTTAGCACAATTTCAGACACGGCTTGCAGTGTGCAGGCTTTGCAAGGGAACATTAGTTGCAGAACGACTGCCTTTGGCCTCTGTGTTCTACGTTGATCCCATGTCGGAACTACCTGGTGAGTTCGAAGAACAGCCAATAGTCTGGAGTGACGAAGCTGTTCGAATATCCCAATCGTTCCGGGAAGAGGCTTCTCTGCAGGGTGATTCTTGATCAGCACTAGTAGTCACCAGTGCGCATGGTTGTTTTTGTTGACAGCTTTTGCAAGTGACATGTGCAGCAGCCCATAAGCCCTCACCGCTGAGCTTGGCTTCAATCTTCTGCTGGATCGTTCTGGAAAATTGCTATTCCACAAGAATGCCGTGTGCAAGAAGGATCTTGCGGTGAATGCTCGGGCAACATCGCTTATAATAGTTCTGGGCATGAGCAAGGGCAGGCATAAATTCTTTGCTAGTGTCCGCTGCTGCTGCTGCTGCTCCAGCCCAGGCGATTGCAGCAACCATCAAGGCATCGCCTCGGAGAAAGAGGTTCTCAGCGCATGTGATTTCGCATGGGATCCTTCACTGGTACAGTACGACAACTGGTCAGATGCCTCGTGGGATATCAGTTAACTGCAGTGCTGTTCGAGATTGGGCCTTGAGAACTGGGACTGCTTTGAGAAAGTTGGCCTTGTTCTCAATTTCTTATGATGTCAGGGGGCTTGGGATCTGCTACATTCTACATGGGTTCGCATGAAAATCCTGAGGCTACCAAGTTCAAGAGCCTATGCCGCAGGACGACCAAGTCGCATGAGAAGGCTATCACCGAACTGAAGCAGGAACTCCATATGTATCTCCCACCCAAAAAGAAAGGGGGTGCCAAGAAGAAGACGAAGAATGAGAGTGAGCTTCTTATGCATTTAGGGTCCTTTTGCGTTCGCCCTGGAATCCTCTGATCCTGTTTGTTTTGGGCAAGGGGTTTCAATAAGGACGATGACGCCAGCTGCCAAAGTGACTGCTCTGAGTCTTCAGAGCAGGATGGGGATTCCGAGGATGGAGATTCCGATTTGAAGGAATCGATGTCAGCTAGGGATGAGGTGTCTAGCCTGTGCACGTTGAGCTGCTTTGAACCCCAGACCCCTGTTACTAAGCAGCAAGGAGACTTAATCTGTGACAAGGCTATGTAGGTCAATGTAGGTAATGCAGGCTGGTTGCTTTGTTGAGGCTTTAAACCCTATGTGCAGACTGAGGCTCGCAAGCTGAAGTCCGAGAACTTGGTGACGCCTCCCAAAGATCATGCAATCATAATGTCTCGGCTAAAGCTCTTCGGCTTATAAAGGGGGCTGCTTGGTGTTTTGAGTTTTTTTGTATATGTTGGAGTGTGCTCCCCAATGACAAGGAGCATTGTTTCGGATGTGAAGCAGAGCAAGCAGCCGAACAACAAGTACACGCTTCCGCCTGCAGAGCCTTTGCTGAACCACATGGAATTACAAGGATGGTGCTTGCTTGGTTGTCAGCATGTCTCTGAGGGCCTATGTCTAGAGCACATATATTGTGCTGATGTACTTCAGGTTCTGTCTTCCTTGGCTTCTATTCCTGAGCCTGCGCCTTTCCTTCCCTGCTTGCAGCCCCTTGGTTCTTATAACTATATCTCTGGGGAATTGGGCTTATCAATGCACTGGTGTTTTTGTCTTAGCTTCCGGGCTTTGGCAACAAGGTACAAGAACGCCAACACTGTCGATGACGATATGCCTGTGGATGATGATGCTGGCAAGAAGCATGTGCCCAAATCACGCAAAGGGCGCAGGAAGGCAAATAAGTTCCGGAGAGTCCGGCAGGCTGTCATGAATGCGAAGAAGAATGAATTGACCAAGCCTAAGAAGTCCGACACAGCTAGTGCCCCGACATCTAAGCCCAAGAGGACTGCAGGTGCAGATGAGGTCAAGCCAGGTTCCTATGCGCCCGGCAAGTTCAGGGATGCCCGGCTGGACTTCATTCGGCGCCAAATGCGTGAGCAGAGTCTGTCGTGGAAGGAAGCCTGCAAGCTCTGGCTGCCCTCGGCAGAGCGTGCATCTTTCCTGCAGGGGATGTCAAAGTCTGAGCTGAGCAAGAGAAGGTTCAACGTTTGATTGATTTTAATTCCAAGTGAAGGTGGGAGCCTGTTCTACTCTAGTTTCTATATAGTCTATACCTATAGAAGCTTGCTGGCCTTAGGTCTGTAAAAACCCCTAGCCCTAGACCCGATGGGATCCTGAAGCCCAAGCCGTGCTTGCTATCGATGTGCTGAGATTGCGGTCCTTGGGTAAGCCCGCCTCGCTGGGATGCATTTAATTCTCCGAATGTTTTACTTGGAGGGTCGGGCAGGGCTTCAAGTCCGATGTCTGGCTGAGTACAGCAAGCTAGCTGTGGGCCTGCCACAGTCGGCTTCCAGTGCATGAGCATGGTGCAAGATTGCATGATAGATCTACGATTTCTTGAGAAAGCTACCGGGTTCGCTGAGTTGCGCTGCTTTTATTGCTGTGGCAGACTTAAGCTATAGGACGGCACCAGATTGTTCGAAGCCTTGCTGTGATGAGCATCAGTTTTTTTGTCCAAGCTAGTTGCTGTTTTTGCGGAAGCGCTTCCGATCTGGATCATGGTGGTAGCTGAACTTCTACAATGGGATGCTCCGATTGCCGTCATTCTTCTGGTCCTACTGACAAGATTTAACGATCGCTTGACCCACAAACAGGACGGTTCTAACTTGATTGCAAACAAATGATTGCACAATTTAGATGCTAGACAATCACAAGTTTCTCCAGCCCCTGAACTTCACAGGACTACGACTACGTGGAGATCTTCGCTGGAGCCGGGGAGGTAAGTGCAAAGCTCCGGGAGGACGGGGCCGTATATGGGCTTAACTTGTTGCTGCAGCTCTCAGCAATCTGAATGCAGGAAGGCTTACGGGGTGCTCCCATCGACATCCTGCTTAACCCCATGCTCTTCGACCTCACCACTGAAGCAGGTTTCATTTTGGCATTGAATGCTGTGCTTCGTATACGACCTGGAGGGGTGCTGCTTATTGCTATGTGTTGCGAAAGCTTCTCGGTCATGCGCCCTAGCTAGAACTAGTTACGTAGAGTCTTTTCACAGCAGTTCGTTTGCTAGCGGTTTTGAGCTTTAGGCTTCAGGTGTTTCCTGCTTGGGCTCAGGAGTCGCAATACAGCGGGCAGAAGTGTCATCCATCCCCTCGGCAACCAGGGGTATCGGTTTGTTCGTACTGGGAACTTGCTCTTGGTGAGATCGTTGCTGCTACTCTTGGTTGCGGCCCAGCGTGGGGTGAGGTTTCTACTTGAACAGCCCGCTCAAAGCATCTTACCCTCCCACCCGAGATGGTCCTGGTTCGTGGACCGAGTTTCAGTTCCTGGGCAAGGGATGAATATAGGGGATATCTATGAAGGCTGAGGCAGGTTTCTGGATCTCGGGCTAGGTGTGCTTGGGGGCCCAGCTACTCTTGCTTCCATGTTCTTAGAGAGAC